TGATATGATATAGTTTTGAATCTTTTTATTTAAATTTTATTAAAATAGGAGTAATTACGTTTAATTAATTTTTCTATTAAGATAGATTTTATTGAAACATTCTTCCGTGCGATCCTTTCCTTTAAATTTGTTTTATTTGCTCTAAGTTTGTAATAATTTCCTGCTTATTATTTAAAGCATCTTTATTAAATTACTAATATATTTTAGATAATGTCTCTACATTATTCTATCGAAGGTTTAAATTGCTTTAAATATGGAAGAAAGCAAAATTGTATTCTTTAGATTCTTTCACTATAGTTTTTTCTTCAGCTTGTTTAAATATGACCAAAAAGTTATAATTTGGGAAGGTTCAATATTGAAAGATATTTTTGGATGCATTCTATAGAATAATTCAGTATTTATTATATTCATATGGGGGGGACAAATCAGACTCGATATGGAGGGAAATCATTAGAGAAATTTTCCAAGCTGATTTTACTCCTTTGACATTTTGTAGCTTATAGTCGAATTAAAGTTTATTGATATGGATAATACTTACAAGATTAGAAAGTAGGCCCCTGGAAATACATCAACATAGATGTAATGCACATTGTGTTGAATTTAGCGATGGTGGATGCTATTAATAAGTTTGAAGGGCGAAAAATGAGTGGAATTGAGTTACGAACTTAATATGAATTTATTTTATAGTTTATATAATTAATTAGAGATATGAATTAATTTTACTATATAAGTCTTATGATGGTTTCGGATGAAAAATATGTTCTTAACATTTGGCTCTTTTGCAATGATTGTTGCTCTTTCAAAACATCTTATATCTCTCTTTATGAATATGCATCCATTAACTAATAATAATTTAATCTTTAAACTTATTGCTTTATTTTAAAACATTATTATTGCAAGGGTTAGAATTTTTATTAAAAGGTTTTTCCATTTATTCAACTTTACAATTTTTATGAAAATTCTCTTGAGCTAGTAGTAGATAATCCACTCAACTTAAAATTATGTATCAATGTGAGAATTTGATTAAATTTAGGATTTTAGAAAAATATCATTTTAGTTGTCCAACATTCTCCTCTCAAAAAATACACATGTATTTGAAGATAATAAATCTAGTATTTACAACTTTGATATTCTTAAAAATAAGCAAAAATAATTATGTGAATAATAAAAATAATTTTGCACTAAAGTAACTGAAATTATTAGAGTATAATCATTAATAACCTAGAATATTTTATTATTTCTGTTGATCAATATTAATTGGAAGATCAGACACCTTAGATATAGAATAGATTGTTCTTCTGACACTCTCTGAGACAGTATGAGATCTAGTGGGAGCTGCTCACAGGAACATCATTATAACTCAAATTTTATTGATTCTCAAACTAGCTATCTTTCTAGGCTCACTTTTTTAACAAACTCTATAATGAGTACCAGGCATTTGTTCCTACATATACTCCTAACAATTATTGACTAAATTTTCCCATGATTAATATTAAGTCATATTATGAGTAGGCGTTATACTTATAAACTCCTCATATTTTGATCCATTCTCGGTTATTGTATGCTTACCCCTGGTTTGGTAGTAACATTAATTTGGCAAGTTTTGAACTATATTTGATGTAATTTTTTAAGAATTTCAAATGTCAAGAAAAGGATACAATTCCGGATCTAAAGATATAAACCCGTAATCAGGTCAAAATTAATCGACATCGCTCAATAGGGAAACAATGAGAATTCCTTGACTGCAGAATGCATGATTAGGACATTACTGAAAAAAGGTGAGATGGAGAACCTTATTTTAAATCCTTTCTTCATAGGTGGATCAAGTCTAAGCTTGGGGAAACTGAGAGGGATCGCTTAAGAGTATGATGTCCAGCTGGATGGATAAGAAGAATAAGTCTTAAGGATTCAAGGAATTTTTGAAAATGAAGATGAAGGAACTAGGACTGAATGGGAACATCCAAATTATGGATTTCTAAATAAGGAGAGGAAAAAAGATTTTAAAGATTTTTATTTTTTCATAGATGATAAGATTTTATCAGAAAGTCAATCAGAATTAGAAGATTTCTAAGTAGTGGAAAAACCATAATAAAAAGAGCTGAAAGCAACTATAGTGGATGAGAGAATGTCAAAACAAGAATTCCAGGAGCTAGGTCTAATTTAGAAAAGTAAGAATTGATTAGCTGAACAATTTTGTTGTAAAAAAGATGAGTTACTTGGAGAAAGAGGACCAATATAATGAACTTATTGAAAACTTTCTTGGCCCTTCACAAGATACTTCGGAAAATACCACAAAAACTATTTCCGAAGGGTTAAAAGACTTCCTCAAAGAATATGGATGTGGAAATTTTCATAACTTCATTAAAAGTTATCGTGGGAAGATTTAAAACTTCCCAGCTTTACATGGAGAAAAGATATAGGAATAGGAGAATTAAATTACGGAAAACATTAATTAAGGAATTATATAGCAATCATGTTTGAGAAAACCAGCAGACAATGGAATAACCTTTGCGTAAGAAGAAATATTT